TTTTTGGGAACATGTATGTATTGTATGGACTAAATGTTATTGTTATACACCAAAAAAGAGACTAGATAAAGAAATAGAATCAAAGAAAGAGAAGTTTCTTCCAGTATTTATAGAATTAGCAAGAGAAACAACAGGAGATGAAATAGTTAAAATACCAATGTTTTTTGTAGATTCATGTCCAGATGAAGATGATGATAATAGTAGATCCGAAGAAGAAATTGAAATGCTTTTAACATGGGCATGTAGTTTACCTTCTCTTAATGTTGAGAGAGTTGTCAAAAATGGAATAGAAAATGAAAAAGTTATTACTGAAGAGAGGGAAGAACCTCATATTATTAGTAATGATGGTACTAACATAGAATATGAAATTGAATATTTGAGAAGAGAGAAAAGAACAAAATTTGATGGCAGTGTTACATATAGTGAGTGGGAATTAATAAAAACTAAACACAAAATCAAACCAATTCAAAAACAATATAATAAAAAATCAAAAAAAAGATTTTTTGATTTACTTGAAAATGTAGGTGGTGCATTGTTTGAAATTCTTATGGATGGTTTTGGAATTAATCAAATTCTTGGAATAAGCGAAGAAGAATCAGAAGAAGAGTAATAGTCTCTTACCAGAAGTATAATTTATACTTTTTCATAATACTTTTGTTTATAATCCAAAATATTTTTCAATGAAAATATAATATCATTTCATAAAACGTTATTATTTTGTAAATATATGAGAATTAAGAAATTATATCCATTCATTTTAATCCCAAATCATATTAACTATATGAATATTATAAAGTTATTTCAAAAGAATAAAGTATAATTGATGATGAATGGCTTACTGTTTTTATTGAAGTTTAAATTGATAAAATACAACTAACCATAAGAATAATTATAATAAATTAAAAGTCATTAACCATCAATGTTCAGTATGTGTTGTAGAGAATATAATTAGTAGAAAATATATAAAACTGATGTTGTGTATTTTTGTGGGATTTATGTAGTATTTTTGTATCTACAATTATCATTTTATTGAAAAACTTAGGAAACGTTATTGTTAATATATGAATGAAACTAACTTATATTACATAATATGCACAAATTTAGTGAAAATCAATTATATTTAAAAACATTCTTATAACGTTCTTCATAATTATACTATCAAAGTATTACCCCCAGTTTTTTCATGTTATTGTTTAATCAAATTTGTAATTTAATAATTTTACCCATAAAGCATAAATACACAAAATTGAAAAAAAAACAAACAAAGAAATTATAAAATTTCGTCTTATAAAATAATAATATTGAAGCATGAATTTAACCAACTCCGATTGTTACTGTTTATTTATTTGAATCAAAAAGAAAATATATAAATACAAATCACTCATTTTAAATATTGATGTAAATCATTATTGATAAAATAATATAAAAAAAATTTTGAAGAAGTTATGCTCTTTCAATAATTTTAAATAACATTCATCTAATTTTATAAAACGATATAATTATCATTACATTAAAACACCATTTTCAACATAAAATAATTTTGTAATAATTTCAAATGGGAGTTGTTTCACTTCTATTTTTATTACACTTTGTAAACAAAAATGATAAACATCATTTAAAATATATGGTAATTATAGCTTTTCATCATGAATTAATATTTAAACAAATTATAAT